TTGAACATTTCTAAAAAAAATGGGGTTGCTTTTTTTGATTAAAATAAAATTGAAATCTACTGATGTTTTTGAAGTGCTTGTTGAAATGTTAATTGTAGATTTTGTTGATTTTCATCGAATATATCTCCACGAAGATTCGACCAATTAAAAGCTAATTGTTTTATTAATGAAACATCATGTTGAACGGTTTCAAGTGCAATACTAGCATCCATATTTATTAATCCATATGCTTGTTCAATATAATCAGATAAATTAAGACTTTTCCATGTTATTTCATTTAAACCTCGATGAATGATCTAAGAAAAACATTTTTCTTTGAAATTAAATATTAAAAAAAAATAAATACTTCATCAATTCGATTTAATTTTGTTTCAAAAAGATCTCGTTCTTCTATTTCCATATGTTCAATTAAATAATTATATTTTATTGCAATTGATCGAAGACGTTCAACATGTAAACTAAAAACGAAAAATTGTCTTTTTTGTTTTTTATTAAAATTTGTTTTCCTACCGAAGAGTTCGTTCATTATCCAATAGAGGAATTAATTCACGATATTTTCCAGGAATTTTATAATTAAGAGGTTCACGAGTTATATAACGAATTTCTTTTAATAAACAATCCAATGAATTATCAAAATTAACTTGAATTGATGGAAGATGATTCATTTCATCAGATAATGACATCGTTTTCTAAATACAAAAATAATTAAAATCAATCAATGCCTACAGTTTTAATTAGCTATTTTATACTTATTAATATTCGATTATCTAAACAAGTAACGCTCGTTCGACGGCTCGCTTAGCTCTTTCTCGTCGAAATGTATCCTCTTCACATTTACTGGGAAAACAATTGAAAACCGTGAAAAATCGGTCTTCGATGTTTGTTTGACCTTTCCCCTTCTTCATCTCCCCTCACCATGGTTACTTAATATACGTGAGATTCGAAGCTTTCGCGTAGAAATATGTCAAGTAATGTCTTGTCTGGAAAACGGGTCTTCAATGTTTTTTTGACCTTTGCCCCCCCCCCCCCGCTCCTCATCGTGGCTTAGTGGCGTAACCATCGGGGGAGCTCCGGTCCCCGTAGTTCACCCTAGAAACTTTTGAGCTTCTCCTAGGAAATTTTGAGATTCTGTCAGACGTTCTTTTTTAAAAAAATATGGAGCTGAACCCCCCTACGGCAAAATCTCAGTCAGTATGGAGCTCAGCTTCCCCTAGCGTAAAATCCTGGTTACGCCACTACTGTGGCCATCCAACAGACCTCAGATTCGAACTCCCTGCATTGAAATACCTCTAGGAATGTCTTTTTCGAAAAATCGGTTTTCGATGTTTTTTTGACCTTGTGGACATTCAAGCAAGAAATCAGTCAATTTATGTTTACTGGACTCTTCTCTACGAGAAAGAGAACAATACTGTAAACTTTCTTATGATACTTTCATAACTGAATATCTGAAACTAAGAATATTTTCTATGAAAATGTAACATACAAAAACAGGTTGAAGTAATAGATCTGATATTTGACTTGTTGCTGATTGTTCTAATTGATTATAAAGATCATCTTCACTTCTACGAAATTAAACATATGTTTAAATAAATAAAATACTAGAAAACTAACTTTTGAATTTTTTCTTTTGCCATTCGATAAGCTTCTTTTAATTCCCATCCAATATCACTATTAATTATTTTTGGACAAAGTTCACAAAATTGATTCATATATTGATCAATTCTTTCTTTAAGACCATATAAATAAAGTAATTGTCTTGCTATTGGTGGCCAATGTGGATAGTTCTTATGAGGTGAACTAACTAATTGTGTAACTAATTGAAATTCTTGTTTTAAATTTTGAAATATCCATTGTTCTTCACTAATAAGTGCACGTTGAATAACATCTCGTTGATATATTCCATGAAAAACATCTAATAATGTTAATTTACTTGAAAGTGTTGTTGTACGTGAAAAACATTGTCGTAATATCCAAGCTAATTCATGTTCATATTGTTTTAATTCAGTTCGAAGACGAAAAAAAAGCAACATCAAAACGATCATTATCCATTAAATGAGAAAGATTTGGACATTCTTTATGAAATATTTCAAGTGATTTCGATGATTTCAATTGAATTTCAGCTAACATAGCATCCATTGTACTCGATAATGTACCACCAACACGAGCTGTTCGAGATAATTCATTAAATTGAGCTATTGTTGATGTTAATTCTTGTACATCATTACATCTAAATATTTTATTTTATTACAAATTTTTTAGTTCTTTTTCTTATAGGAAATATTATCTTCTTCACTATTCTCAAAATGATAGGATACTCCTTGCGTTCTTATGAGAGTGGGTGACTGTGGATGTGAATATTGTTCTCTTTCTCGTAGAAAATAGTCTTGCAAGACTAAATTGTTTGCTTGTGTGTCCGCACTTCGCTGATTGGTCCAAGAATTAGGTAAAGATATAGAAATAATTTTTTATATAACGGTTGATTGAAGAGTAATCGTAGTCAAGGAATTCAAATCTGACTTCTGTTTTGCTCAATTATATAAATCAATAGCTTGATAGTTGTTTAGTAACGCGATTTCTACGAGAAAGAACTGAAGGAGTCGTTAGAGGAGCGTTCTTTGTTTTTGTTATACTTTCAACTACACCCTCAAGAATAAGAATATTATCAAGATATAAATTTTAATGATAGAATTGAATATGGGTGAACTACGTTTCGTACCACTTCCTCCGGACACCTGACTATACGTCCGGGTGTTCGTAAATGAATTTTTTCTTAAAGATTTATAATAGAAGTTCAGAAATAATAGTGTACTGGATGTCGTTAAAGAGAAAATGAGAGAAATCCAACGGACTGTGGATGTGGGCGATCGTGGACATGGAGGGTGTGGGTGTGGGCAGTTATGAGCGTGGATGTGGGTGAGTGTGGTACAGTGATAAGCACAACGTCCGCATCCACACCCACACTCTCTTTTCGAAACTTTCTTCTTATATATTGTTCCTATGTTTCTGTTTTGTTTAAAAAGAAAACGATTAATAACCTTTCAATAATTGCATTTAATGATTGAAAACATTTAGCATTTCTTGGTGGCCAAAGACTTGATTTTCTTAAAACCGCATGTGGATCATTACTTGCTGATAAATCTTTATATGGATCATTATCACCATATGGATTAACTTGCCAAATAAGCATTTTTGATGGATCAATTCTATTTTATTTCAAAAAAAGTAAATTCATAAAATCAAATAAATAATTTTCAACAAACTTTTTTTCTGGAATCATATATTTTGCATTAAGTGCATCAGCTTTTTCTTTATAATCTAAATAAGTTCCACGAAACATAGCACAAATTGAAAGTGCATCTTTTAAACTCATTGTTGACTAAATAAAAAATAAATAAATTATAAACTAAAAATTAAATTAAATAAAAAAATACATTATTTGATTGTGATGATATATCTGTTGTTATAATTTGTTTAGCACGTGATGCTATTTCTGATGAAATTACTTCTAATAATTGACTAAATTTATCCTTTTGATGATAATATCTATTAAATAAATAAAAATGAAAAAATATTTTTTTTTGAAAATAAAATATCTCTTACTGTGAATGTTGCCAAACAAGAAAAAGTGTATGCATTAATGATGAAAGTAATTGAAATATTTCAGTAACATTATTTGAATTATTTATTTGAAATATCCATGGTGATAATGTACTTACAAATGAAAGATTTCGTTCTGCATGTGTTACAGCCTTTAGATATACATGGATAGAAGAAGTTCCTAATAAATTTCAAACATACTCGACTTATTTCAAGTTTAATATCCATAAACGATGCAAGATACGGTGAACGATTTCTTGCTAAATTTTTTAAAACATCTTGAACAAATGGTGAATCAAGTTGAACAAGAAGATTATTTAATTTATTTATTCTTGATGTCCATAATTGTACTTGATCTTTTATCGAATTTTGTTCTCGACCATAAAATGATGGTTTTAATTCTTCTTGAAGTAATTGCTTTGAAACGAAAAATAAATGCTTTATTTTATTTTTTTTTTATAAAAATAAACAAACTTTAATTTGTTTACTCCAATTTGTAAGTGTATTTTCAAGAATAGATAATATTGATTGTTGTCTTGAAGGTTCTTGTTGTGAAATATGTGCAAGAATATTAAATGCTGGTAATGGAAGAACAACTGATTCAGATTGAAATGTATGTGTAGCTGCTGTTTGATTAAGAAGACGATGAAATAAATCCAAAAAGCGATCTTTTTCAGTATCAGATATAAGACAATTACAAGATAATAATGGAAGATAAACATCTCGACTTAATATATCCATATAATGAACTGTTTCTTCAGGATATAATTCAACAACGGCAACATCTTTATCTAGATGAAAGATTTCTTTTCTTTTTTGTTCAATTAAAAAAAAAATAACAAACCGAGATTTTCTCTTGTTAATTTATTGGTTGAATTTGTTTTCAAAAAAAGAACAGTACGCACATAAGAACTATAATCAATTGGAATTGTATTAAGTGCGATTAAATGAGATGATGATTGAGATAAAACATATAAATGTGTTACATCTTCATTCTCAAAAAATTGTTCAATACTTAAACTAAAATATCGAAGAATTATTTTTTTTTATTTTTAAAAAACTTATTAATGAAATAAAAGCAAACCGATTTTCATCATTTTGAATAAATTGAACGAGAGCATCGCGTTTTGGTTCAAGTGTTGTAATAATTCGATGTTCTAACCAATGATATCGAATATCTTTCTCCATATTAAATTTTCAATAAAAAAAAAGAACTTTTTTAATGAATAAAGAAAAGAAAAGGTAAAGCGAGAAGAGTCGCCATTTGCATATGTTTGTATAATGTAGTCACTATCGATTGCCTCTCTATATTTGTCAATCGATCATTCATAAAGCGAAGGAGAGGGAGTAACTAGTATTGAATTAATCAATGAAGCATAACATTTATACTAATGTTTTCTTCAATGGTTGCTCCATTATTAGGAATTTTATTTATTAGTTTAGCTTTAATTAATTTATCATCAAATATAAATCCTTATCTACATTTATTTCTGGTATTTATTTATTTTTTAAATATAATTTAAATCTATTTTTTATTAAATTAGCGTGATCATTTAAAACAAATTCAAGAAAATCTTCCAATTGCATATCTTCGTGAAAGTTCAATAAATCAATTTCAAACAATATTTTCTATCTATGTTCTTATCTGTGGATTGATTATATTTATTGGTGAAGGTTTAATACGTTTATTATTTATAATTCCATTATCAATAATATTAATATATATAATACAATTTACAATAATTTATGGTATAACATTAGCAAATCTTCCTGTTTATATGTTTTTATTTGTTTGTATAATGATTATTCTTTTTAATGATTGTGCTGAATTTGATGAACTTGAAGTAAAATAATTTTTAATTTAAAAGTAAATTGTTTTTGTCAATTTTATTAAGTAAATTTCGTGCTATATCATATTCTTCGGTTATTAGAATAAATAACTAAAAAACAAAATTTAGAAGACAAAAAAAAGAGAATATTTCATACTAATGCTTTGTTATAGGTTGTGGAAACGAATTCATTGGTATTTTCTTGGCAAATTTCTAACGATTGATTATAGAAATGTAATGAAGAATAAAAATGTTGAAGTTTTTTCTCATATTTTGATATTTGACTAAGAAAAAAATGAATATCACCTTGAATTTTATAAGAAAAATATTTTCTTTCAGATAACAAATATTTTTCAATTAAAGAAAATATTTTATTCGAATACATATTGATTTCATTTAAAATTTGGTTAATATAATTTTCAATTGATTGACGTTTTAGAAAATTATCTGTTTGTGTTAAAATACGATTCAGTTTTATCCATGATTTATATCGTTTTTCAATTATATTTATTGATATAAGACAAAAAACTTCTTCTTCTTCCGGAGTAAGTAATCGAGTATTTGGAGATGTAATGAAAAATAAATAAATTAATTCAAAACCTTCATCACAACGATTTGTTAAATAAGAAAGTGATGCTTGTGCAAATATATCTTCCATTAAATAAAAAAGCGCGCTTATTTTTTTATCTTCATAAAAAAAAATCTTGAGCAAGTCATTTGAAAATTACGTGGATAATTTAGGGGTCTAAATACAAGAAGAAGAGCGAATACAGATGACGGGTAGTACCGTCGCAGAAGCGTCTACAATATTTCGATTATCTATTTTATTGAAAAAAAAAGTGGAGAAGTTGGGCATCGATCCCAATACCTCTCGCATGCTAAGCGAGCGCTCTACCATATGAGCTACATCCCCATATTAAATTTCAGATACATAAAAATAGTTTTCATTAATATTAATGGTTTAACCCTCGAACGGTATCCCCATTTTATCACACGAATGGTCTTTGCGGGTCCAGAGAGACCCACATAAAAATAAATTAGATGAACTTGACTTTTCACCAATTTTGTAGTAGATGCGGTTTATTATACCTTATACCATACCTTTTATCAAAGCGTGAACATATTAGTATGCCTATGATTTATAAAAACGACGGTTTTTTTTCATGAAAGTTTTTAAAAAAAGGTTATGATAAGATCTTGATTTTAAAATATTACTGAATGAATATAACAAAATCGTCAGAAAAGTATTTAAGAATGTAAATGGTTTACTAATGATAGGGTTGTACTAACGAATCTAGATTCAATAAACTCTGAAAAAATAGATAGCAGACGGAATATGTATTAAAATCGCTTGTATAACATCAAAGGTATCAGGGGGTCCGTATAGACTCACATTTCAGTTTTCTAATCGTAAGGCTTTAGTACGAAGTTTAATATGGTGTATGTCTATCGTCATATGACTAACGATTAGCAGAGAAATGACCCCAAAAATGATGCGTCTTCGTGTATAAAAATCAAAAAAATAGTATTGTGGGTCTTGTCGGACCCTCAAAAACCGTTCGAGGGTTAATAAAATATTTTTAACGACATATCCGTATTACATACATCAAGAAATCGATATGTAAAAAACGAATTTCATTATTTATACTATTAAATTTAAAAAAATAATTAATAAATTATTTTAGAGAAAAAAAAATGTAATCATTGGAGAAGTTGGGCATCGATCCCAATACCTCTCGCATGCTAAGCGAGCGCTCTACCATATGAGCTACATCCCCATGTTATTGCTTATATCATTAAATCATTTCGTGCACTTTTAATCACGATTGACATATGCATTTATACGTCATTTCTCTTAAGAAATTTTTTCTCTTCGAATCAATGCCTAATCCATCTATAATAGAGTGTACATACAAGTAAATAAGTCAATTTCAAATAGATAATCATTTCCTCACTAAAAGTTTTTCTGGAAAGATCGATTAACAGGAAATCTATTTACTATAAATTTTCTTATATATCAGATCGAGAAAGGATCTGAATTATAAGAAAGTATTCGAAATGTTATTTCTGATTAGGCTAAAACAAAAGATTAGAAAATTTCTGTTGTTGAAGTGTATTCGAATCTATACAATGTTTATACAAATGTTTTCAAAAACTCTTATTATTAGAAGTATTTTAAATAGCAATAACTAAACAATGTCTAAAAATAAACATATATGATCATATAAATAGGAAGATGACTTCATGACTTTAGTTCAATATTTATAATCATTTTCAGAAACTGATGTTCACTAGCATTTATCTTCATTTGTGTTTTGAATAGAGCTTTACTTTTATGGGTATTTTTTTTCAAAAAAACTGAACTTTGTTCAATCGTACAAGTTAAGTTCTTGTAGTTTTACTATTATCATTGAAATTTTGATGATAATCATGGGATTAACTTATAAAAAAGAACGCTTATTCACCACCCATACAACAACCCAAAAGGCAACATGCAAGAACAGCCAAACAGCAGTCGCAACCACCAAAATCACCACCACCACAATCACATCCACTGCAGTCACAACAGTCGCCATCACATCCATTGCAGTCACAGCAATCGCAATCACATTCACAGCAGTCGCAACTATCGCTATTACAACAGGCTTCACATTCGCAGCAGCCATCTTCATCTGAATTTAACATATTGGAACCGACACCAGTAGAACAGCAACAAACGCCGTCTGATGATATTTGGTAGGACGGATCAGAACGGCTATATTTTGATGATCGATGTTGACGTTTGTTTTCTAGTCGCCTATTTTTCTCTTTTATTATCATTTTATTAGTAGAATATTCATTAAATGCTGTAAAGTAATGATCTTCATTTACGTGCGGTTGATTATTATGCGGAATAATTAAGGATTGTTGTTGTTGTAGTGCTATTTCGTATGAATGTCGTCTTCCTCGTGCAGCTTTTAAATCAATGACAATCGGACGAAACGTCGAATCAGCATTCAATTGCTCATAATTATTTCCATGTAAATGATGAGTTTTTGGTGTAGTAGTCAAATCAGTAAAATAGAGTGAAGTATTAGAAAAATCACGCGGTTGTTCAAGTTTATATCTGCGTTGTTGTGCCATATGTTGTTTTTCAAAATGTAATTACACACATTTATTTTTCATAGAATAATTTTATAGGTGAAATTTAACGTTGCATTATCAATATGAGTAATAGGAAAATGCCTGTGCAATACTATCGTTAATATCCATTAAATGACGCCATTTAAATAAAAACAACAGCATACAAAATGTTTTTCGATTTTTCTTCTTCCGTGAATTTACCTTTTAGATTTATTTTATTACTTATGACAAATAGTAATGTTTTGTCTGCCCTTCTAAATATTTAATGTACACTAAAATCTGACTAATGTCTTATAACATTCATTTATTTGTACAGGTATGAATTTATGGTATTTCAATATATACTCAATTACATTCTATTCATTGCATTTAATTTTTCAAGAAAACTAAGTATATTTCCTTCACGTCATAGAAAATAATATACAGTATCAGATTGAAGGAAGTCTATGTATTGAATACTTTGATCTTCGATTAACTAATTACAAATTCTCGGAGTATCTTACAAACAATTATTATATATAATAAAGAATAAAAACAAAATACTGAACATGAAATTAAATAAATAAAAGTGGATAATTCTATAGTTTTATTTTACTAATATATCATACTTGATAGAACAGGATTTTATTCCAGGAAAAAAAAGAAGCATGTTCCATTTATAAATTCCTTGTTTTCATTTCCATTTGAAATAATTATTAAATGATCGTTTACAAAGACATATAACCAAATATTTTACAGTTATTTTTTCATCAACTTAATTATTTGAATATTTTAACTCTTTCATAGAATTTTGATAATATTATCTAGTACTATAAGACACAATATTAATTCATGACGTGAACATAGAGTATTTCTTTCACAGTGCTTTATATAATACAAATCAGTTCCTTTTTTTTAGGAAGATGACTTCGTCGGTTTATTCAAGCATTTGTAATCATTTTTAGAAACTTGTGTTCACTAGCATTTACCTTTATTCGTGTTTTGAATAGACCTTCATTTTTCGATGAGTGAGTTTTTCAAAGAAACTGAATTTTTTTCAAAAATCGTATAAGTTAAGTTCTTCTAGTTTTTCTATTATCGTTAATGTATTTATAATAATCATGAGATTAACTCATAAAAAAAGACGCCTAACTAGCACACATAGAACAATCGAAAAGGCAACTTTCAAGAACAGCTCAACAGCAGTTGCAACTACCACAATCACAGCTACCGCAGTCAGCAATCGACCTCACATCCATCGCAGTCGCAACTAAGGCTATCACAACAGTTTCCACATTCGCCGCAACCATCTTCATGTAAATTTGACGTATTGGGACTGAAATCAATAACATAGGAACCATCGTCATCTGAATTTGATGTACTGGAACCGGAATCAGTAGTACAGCAACAGCAACCAACGTCGCCTGATGATGTTTGACTGGATCGATCCGAACGGCTAGATTTTGATGATCGATGAGAGCGATAACACTTTGATGATTGATGTTGACTCTTGTTTTCTAGTCGCCTATTTTTCTCTTTTATTATCATTTCATTAGTAGAATATTCATTAAATTTTGGGAAATAATGATTTTCATTTATGCGCGGTTGATTAATACGCGGAATAATTAAGGGTTGTTGTTGTGCTATTTTGTATGATTGTCGTCTTTCCCGTGCAGCTTTTAAATCAATGGTCACTTGACGAAAAGTTGAATTAGCATTCAATTGGTCATGGTTATTCCTAGAGATATAATGGATTTTCGGTGTAGTAGTCAAATGATCACCATTGAATGGATTATTAGAATAATAACGCGGTTGTTCAAGTTTATATCTAGGTTGTCGTGCCATATGTTGTTATTCAAAATATAGTTACACACAACTGTTTTCAAAGAATAATTTTATAGGTAACGTTTGACGATGAGTTATGAATATGCGTAATAGAAAAATGCTTGTGCGATACTGTCTTTAATACCTATTACATCACGCCATTTAAATAAAAACAACAGCATACAAAATATTTCGTCCGTTCTCAGAAGAGACACAATTTTTGTTATATAAATAATCTCTGAAAAATAGCAAATAAAACTACCTATAAGACTTCTGCTCCTTAGCTATCCAATCTTCAACACTATTTAATATATCTTCTTAGCTATTTAAAGGCTTCTCAACTATTTATTTATTATGATTTTATTTTCTTGATGAGCTATTTACTGCGCAGCATTATTTAAATATATACAA